CCCCAAAACCCCAAAACCCCAAAACCCCAAAACCCCATTTAAGAATTAAAAGTTGGAATTTAAAGTAATAAATATTTCAATTGAAATGGTTCTGCAGAGAGCTTCTGAAAGTACAATTTCAACAAGTAGTTTCAAGAAATATCGACCAAATGCATCGAATTCAGTCTTTTTAAAAGATTTTCCAGGAGTAAAAAGTTTCATAAGTGAGACTTACGGCAATTCTGGTCATGAGCCAATCAAAGAGCAACTTCAATCCAACGGTATTTCAGAAACTATACACCAGATTGAAAACCAAGATCGTGTCCAGAGCGTTAAGGAGAGACTTAGCAAGCATTTTGACCCACAAGGTGAGAATTAGATTCTCCTTAGATTTTCTTTCCGGTCACAGTCCAAGAGCTTGGTTTTAATCAAAATATAGATCCTGATTTTGATATTTACTCTACATATTTTACTGATGCTTCGAACGTATTATATGAAGGTAAGCTCCAAAGAATCATTGAATAGAGGAAGTAGTAAATGATGCTGCTCCAAAAGCATACCTTGTTGAGCCCTACGCTAGAAGAGGCACAGCCAAATCACGCTTTGATATCCCTCCTTGCGGAGGAGGCGTTCAAGGTAAGATTAAGTACCTTGCTGAGCCTGGCTCAAAAGCTCATGTGCAATGGATCATTCAAGATCCTGCTCCTGGAGGGCATTGAGAAATAAGACTTTCAAACGGTCATCCAGATGATAAGTCCTCCTACAATTTCTTGAAAGTTGAAGGGAACGGCTTCAACTCCCGCACAGGTGCTTTCAATTGTGGAGATCCGAAAAAGAGCATCGAAGAGGCAACAGTTGTGTTCCCCTCTAACGTATCGTGTGAACAATGCACCCTCCAATGGGTTTATGTCGCTCCTGGATATGGATCAATGTACCAATGATCAGACATCTCTATTCTTTCAGGACAAGAAAAGAAAGACGAGTGTGCAGTAGATTGCAGAAATGGCGGAGTCTGCCAAGAAGGTCTCTGCTATTGAGCAGCAGGCTACTTCGGAGAATCCTGTGAAAATCAGGGTGATCCAAACCAATTCTACGAGCCAGTGGCTCCTACACTTTTTGCACAAGAGGAACCTGAAGAGGAAGTAGAAGCCCCTAAATCAAAGGATAGCGGAGGTTGGGGGTTCTTCTCATGGTACTTACTTCTCCTATTCCTGGGACTTCTACTTGCCGGGATAATCGCTGCTCTAGTCTACTTCCTCTGTAAAGACAAACTCAAAGACATCACCGGAAACAAAGAAGACAAGGATGCTAAGAAAGGTCAGAAAAAAGATGACGAAGAGACCCAAGACAGAATGATCGAGGAAGAAAAGGCCAAAGAAGAGAAGAAAAAGAAAGAGCAAGAGGATAAGAAGAAAGCTGAGAAAGATAAGAAGAAGAAAGATGAGGAGGAGAAGAAGAAGAAAGATGAAGAAAAGAAGAAGAAAGAGGAAGTAAAGAAGAAAAAGGAGGAGGAAAAGAAGGAAAAAGATAAGAAAAAGAAGGAAGATAGCAAATCAAAGGATAAAAATAAATCTAAGAATAAAAACAAATCGAAAGATAAGAATAAGTCCAAGGATAAGAATAAATCAAAAGATAAGAACAAGTCCAAGGAAAAGAGCAAGTCAAAAGACAAGAATAAGTCCAAAGATAAGAACAAATCAAAAGAGAAAGAAAAGAAGGCCAAAAAGGATAAGGACAAGAATAAGAAAACAAAATCAAAGAGCAAATCAAAAGATAAGCCTAAAAGCAAGTCCAAATCCAAGTCAAAATCCAAAGACAAAGATAAGGCTAAAGCTGATGCTGAATAAGTTATCAGTGCTAAGGAATCGAGAAGGAATAGTATCTAATAAATTCATAAGAGACATTACCCTCACCACGGCTAAATCCACCTCCCTTTCCCAAAAGGGGTTTTGGGGTTTTGGGGTTTTGGGGTTTTGGGG